CGCCCGCGGCCGCCGGGGGGGGAGGGGAGGGCGGCCGGGTTGGGAGGGGGAGGGGGGAAGGGAAACAGCGAGGGGCGAGCGGGCTCTCCGCTCGCCCCTGGCTTCAGTACCGGGTGGGGGGGGAAGAGGAGCTGGGGGGGAGATGGAGGGGGGTGGAGGACAGGGGGGAACCAGCAGGATGGGGGGGGGGTACTTACCTCCTCCTCCTGCTTCCTCCTCTGCCTCCCTCCACCACCACCCCCCCGCGAGTATCGTGGGTCCCCCCTTGTTCTTTACTATTTCAAATGCTGGTAATTGTTCTCCATACCACATAGACCTCCCCTATTTGAACATGCTATTCTAAATGGGAGCCAGAGGAAGGGAGGTGTGTGACTGCTAGATTACTAATTCCCTGTGAGTGCATAAGTGCCTGTGGTAACCAGTCGCAACTGGGGAGCAGGAGACATGGGCACTAGGTGTGGCCCTAATCACCACTATGGAAGAGAAGCTGGGAATGGTGGCCCTCTTAATGAGTAATTCCAGAATTAACCAGGCGGTAGTAGTATGCCAAAGGAGAAATGTGAGCAAACCTCTCCGAGAGCAGAGGCTCGGGATGGCTGCTGGTGCCTAGATGCCTCAGGGAGCCGAAATGGAATGGGCGCATGGGTCAGCAGGGCTGTTCCACTACAGTCCCCTACCCCTAAAGATAGCAGTTCAAAGAGAGGAACTTGTACCAACAGGAATATAAACCATAGGAAGATTAAACCAATAGCATAATCTGGTCCTAAGGATGAAAACAGCTGTAAAAGCCAAGAGCATCCTTTGCTCATTTTTCTGAGAAGGAACTCAGTTCAGTAATGAGCTTTGCTCTTGATCCAACAAAGAGGACTCTGGAGACAAATTTCAAAGAATCAGGGCAGTAGTGACAAATTTTATATGCTGTTGCATGTTGCAACCAACAATTCTTTCTGTTATTACTAATCCAGCCAAAATAAATGACTATTGCACTAATATTTATTGCCTGATTGTGCTTCATAGTTAAGTTTGCTCACACTAAAATTGGGGGACTTTCCCCAGCTTATGAAGAAATAAAGTCCAGCAAACATCTATCAAATCAACTATATAGTTTTGGGGGTTTTTTTCAAAGTACCCTCTTCTTTAATTCTTCTGGATCTTCATTATATTCAGAAGCCAACTCAGTCAAGCAGTCTGAAGCACTGTTAGGAACTACATTGTAGATATCTCCTGTAATGAAGATGGTGTATAATTTAGGACACTGTTTCAGAACAGAACAAGTAAGATGAACTACCTTCCCAATGCATATCAACACAAAATAGTTAAATCTCCAGATTTTATCATTTTATAACTGATACCAAAATTACTCTCATAGAGCACATATCTTCCATAAAACAGGGGTAGAAGCCTCCAGTCTTGTGTGGCCTGCTTTTTTACACAACTAAAATCAACATCTTTCACTGATATTTTTTAAATTTACAAAACAAGAGTACACTAAACTATAATTTATGGAAGACACGTGTCCAAGCAGGGTTTCTATTAACTTCCTAACCTTGTACGCTCAGACAGCTCTCTATTAAAATTCAGAATGACAGCCACCACAGTTCAAAAAGTAAAATGCAGACAACGAAACGTAGGCAAAGATATGAAATATATGTCAGTGGGAAACTCCTGTAGTCTCATCAATAGACCCACAAACTTTGGGACAGATTCTGAAACCAATTATTAGGCAGGCGGCCCAGTCCAAAAGGAAAAGATTATTTTCTTTTAGAGTAGCAAAGAGAGGAGATTATAAACTGGCTGTCTGTGTAGGCCATCTCTCTGGTCAAAAATGAGGAATGACTATTGGTTTAATAAAAGACAACAGAGAAATATCCAGCTAGGGATTGTATTTGTTTGAGGATAGTATTGGACTGATCAGAAAAACAGAGCTTTGCCAGGCAATTCCAAATAGTCTAAATTAGATCAATCCGAGGCAAGAGAACCTTCCTTTCAGAAACATTAATGTGACAGATGTGGCTAAAGATACACTGATTAATTACTGAGAGGCCTTGAGTTACAACCTAATGATCAGATATGGGCAACGGAAGCATGTTTCCAAGACAATTATTTGATTCCCCGTAAGATGATGAAATTAGACACAGTTCTGCTTCTCTGCTGGTTCTTTTGTATTTTGTAGCCAGACAGGGTTGACTGACCTGATACTAAGAGAGACAGAAGAAAAACTGGTTGTGACACTAAGACAGCTAAGGGAGAATTAGAAATCAAAACAGACGCTTGTCAGCAACACAGAAAGCAGAAAATTTCTAACACAACTACATGGAGTTGTATGATCAATCCCCTCTGAAATATTTTTGGGAACTTATGGTTCAAGAGTAATCATTAACTCCCTTAAATCTGGGGATTGTTCCTAATGCAAATCTTCCAGCAGTATACCTCTATCAACTCATAGCTCCAAATTTGCGTAGAGCCATATCCTTCACTAGATTTAATGTTCTTCCTTCAGCTACCTTATCTGGCAGATTCCAAGGGATTCCCTATTATAGCAGGTGCTGTCCTTGTATGAAGGACTGTATTGAAACTGTTGCCCATGTCCTCCTCCAGTGCCCTCTCTATTTGGTGTCCCGTCGGGATCTTCTATATCCCATATTAGGCCAATTTTTAGAGACTCCTGATTATTTTAAGCTCTTTTTCTTTCTCGATAATCCAGATACAGAAATAACTGAAATAATAGCAAAGTTTCTCTGCAGTGCTATGGTCCTACGGCCTGATAAGTGATATTATGAATTAGGTATTATTATGATGTTACTCTCTGATGTTACTATGCAATTTTAATTTTACCCTCCATGATTTTGTATTTAGATTACTGTACCTTTATTTATATGCCAATAAAAGGCTTTGGATTGGATTGGATTGGATTGGTAATCATTAACTGGTAAAACTGGCATTTGTTATAATGGTGTCATACCAAGTTCATAACAACTGGCTGCTTTGCTGAACTTTAAAATGGCAGTAGCTTTGGAAAGCTGGCCAGAATAATAACATAACTAATCTGTTGCAAGGCCAGCATCAAGAGCTAGCATGGTTAAGCACCAGACAGTGTAGCAGAGGACATGCCACCAACACTTGGTCCGTGCATGAAAGCCACATTCTGATTCTTCCTCCAGATGCAAGGTTACTATTACCCTAGAGAAAAAGGTCCCTGTAGCTTAATGGGATGTTATTTACCAGATGATTTTGATTTACCTTCATGCAATGAAAAGCTTCACCTGCCTATTTCCACACATTGTAGCCTTATGAAAGGGCTGGGACATTGCTTTTTATTCCAAGCTGTTGCCAATCCTATCCAGATGCCTTTCCTATCAGAATATGAAAGATTGTCCCTCTGCTGGAGACATGATAGGACTTAAAGGAAATATAGGAGGTACAAAATTAGGGGAAAGAAAAGAGGAAGAAACCTATATAATGGGAGAAGGGGGAGGAAGAGGCTGTGATGAGGGCTCATGGAACCCTATGTACAAAGGTTGCCAAAGATCTACAGCAGCCTTTGAATGAACCTGAGAAATACATTGTTGTTAGACTAGTATCTTGTTGAAATGCTTTGCGGAAACAGATCAAAGCTTCTCTAGTCCCAGGTTTCTTTGAAAAACTCTCAGCAACCACCAGTTCAGCAATTGGTTTACAAGAAATTAGCCAGTGGTCTACAACCTACCTTCTACCTACTCTGTCATGTAATATATTGCATTAGAATCTTCTGATGAAGCAGAATTGCAATGCAATAAAGGAATAGAGCATTCACAGGAATGTACAGTTTTTCATTTGAATAGGCCTGTCCATTAGGTTTACATACACCAAAAGAGAACTTAGGAAACAGGTGACTAGATGGTCATCCAAGCTAACTTGATTAAATCACAACTTACTTAACATGTCATCATTGTCCAAATCTTGTAAGAGTCTTTCTGCATTTTGACTTCTGGCTGTCACAAAATTTAAATAACGGCGGACCGAATCTGGCAGTTCATCTGAAATCTAAATGCGCATTTTCAATTAAATTCTACACTTTCAATTTTCATCATAATTATTTTCAAATTAGAATTGTCTTCAGAAAAGTTAGAAATACAGATAGCTCAACCCAGCTCCTCCCCACAAGGGTAACATGCATACAATATTCTACTGATGGATAAGTGTGCCATGAGAGTGCAGAATTCATTTTGACTGCTTACAGGTTTAAATACTTACAGGTTCGCTATCGCTTGAAGCTTCAGCTGATGAATCTATGTCTGGATCATCAACTTCAAGAGAGGAAATGCTGATTTTGCTTAATTCAATTTCTATTTCTTCTTCAAGTCTTATACTATCATCATCATGATTGTCCTCCATTACTCTCACTGGGACATGGAAGGTGTAAAGGGACTATATGTTACTGAAGGCTGTGCCAACTGTTTACATTTATTATATTGTTGTCCTGTTCTTCAGTCATAGCTGATTCTTAAAGCCGGGCAAAGAAATAAAAAACAAACACAAATGAAATTATAATTCAGTATAAGTATTCCATAGGGAGAGGAGGACTATTCGCTGAAAGGTGCCTGGCTTTTAGAAGGGAGCTGGACTGTTTCCTGAGCTTCCTCCCTATGATGATCCCCACTGATTTCAATTGGAAGTTGAAGGGACATATGAGTAGGATGACATCAAATGACTTTTGTTAGCCTGACAAGTTTAAACATCAGCAGAATATTGGACAAATGCTATTATTAAGCTCAAAGAGGAATGAATCAGCATAACTTCTGCAAAAGGAAGTTCTATCTCACCAACCTTCTGCAGTTCTGTGAGAGGCTTAACAAGCCTGTTGATACAAGTGATCCAGTAAACATTGTGTACTTGGACTTCCAAAAGGCTTCTGACAATGCTCTGTACCAGAGATTCCTGAGTGAATTTAACAGTCATGGGATGAGAGTATGGGTCCTATGAATTAAAAATTGGTTAAATGACCGGAAGCAGAGAGTAGGAATAAACTGAAAGCTCTCTAAATAGAGAAAAGTGAGCAGTAGAGTCCCACAATGGTCAGATCTGAGACTAATTCTATTTAACTCAGTCATAAATGATCTGGAATTGGGACGAAGCAGTATAGTGGCCACATTTACAGTTGATACCAAATTATTCAGGATGGTGAAAACCAAAATAGATTGTGGAGAGCTCCAGGAGAAGTGAGTAGGCTGCACCATGGTAAATGAAGAAGAGAAGAAGAGATTGGGTTTATACCCCGCCCTTCACTCAAGAGTCTCAGAGCGGCTTACAAACTCCTTCCCCTTCCCCTCTCCACAAGACACCCTGTGAGGTTGGTGGGGCTGAGAGAGCTCTTTCAAGAACTACTCTTTCAAGAACAGCTCTGACAGAACTATGGCTTGCCCAAGGTCATCCAGCAGCTGCAAGTGGAGGACTGGGGAATCAAACCTGGTTCTCCCAGGCTATAGTCCGTGCACTTAACCACTACACCAAACTTGCTGAGCTTCCTCACTGTAGGTAAGTGCAAGGTGATACATACTAAAAAAAAAAATTAGGCTGGTTGTAAATTGGCATATACAAGATGGGTGGACATGTTAGTCTGTCTGTGGCAGTAGAAAAGAGCAAGAGTCCAGTAGCACCTTAAATGCTAACATAATTGGTGGTGAATATGAGCTTTCGTGAGTCACTGCACACTTCTTCGGATATTTGAAGAAGGGAGCAGTAACTCATGAAAGCTCATTCCCTGACACAAATTTTGTTAGTCTTGAGGGTGCTGCTGGACTCTTACTCTTTTCTACTGGGCATATACCAAACATATTACATATAACAGAAATAACATGGAGAGGTACTTGTTGGATGACCTGTTTCTAGTCCTAAGGAAACGTCTTTAAAATATGTTTTATTTTTTTTTTTGGTAAACAAATTTTTATTTTCTCAGGAATACAACATATAAAACATTTCATTCTATCAATTGTCTACCCCATTCCCAGTTCCTCCCCTCCCTCCAATGGCTTCCCACAATGCTTCCACCCCTGCTCCAAATTACTTCATATCATCAACAATATCAGTTTTTCATCATTACAATCTAAAGATAACATCGTTTGACTTAATATTGATCTAAACATATTAAGTTTTGTTTCACATCCCAGTTCTTTTCCAGATAAATTTTAAGATCATTCCATTCTCCAAAAAACTCATCGTCTTCTTTGTTATTCAGTTTTTTTGTAATCTTATCCATTTGTGCCATGAACAGAACTTTTTGTATCCATTCTTCAACCTCTGGTACCTTTTCTGTCTTCCAAAACTGAGCATAAATCATTCTCGCTGTCACTATCAGGTACCAGAGTAAAGTTTTTTTAGTCGTATTGACTTCTTCCATTTTAAGTCCCAAAAGCAGAATTTCCGGTGCTTTTTTAAAAGAACATTTCAATATTTTTTGCATTTCATTGTGGACTTTTGTCCAAAAGTCTACAGCTTTCTCACAAGTCCACCACATATGATAAAATGAGCCCTCATGCCTCTTACATTTCCAACATTTGTTTGACATATTTTGATTCATATTTGCAATCTTCTTAGGTGTCATGTACCACCTATACATCATCTTATAACAATTTTCTTTAACATTAGTACATGTCGAGATCTTAATAGAATTTTTCCACAAATATTCCCAGGTTTCCATAGCCACTTCCTTATTCATATTAATAGCCCATTTTAACATTTGTTCTTTAACAGTTTCATCTTCAGTATACCATTTTAACAACACCTTATACATTTTAGAAATATTTTTTCCTCCTCCACTCTCCCATACCTTTTCAATTTCATTTTTTTCCTCTCTAAAACCATAGTTTTTTTTGTCAGATCTAAAAAGATCATAAATCTGCATATATTTCAACCACTCATATTCATATTCAATTTCATTCTGCTTTTTCATTACCCACTCTGTTCCCTCTTTTTTAATTAAATCTCTATATGGCAACCAGTCTCTACCTCGCTGTCTTGAGTAAGATATCAACACTTCTACTGGTACAATCCACAATGGTCTTAAGTCACTCTGGTACTTCTTATATCTTGTCCATACCATATACAAAGCTTTTCTCACCAAGTGAAGTTTAAAAAAACTGTCCATTTTTATCTTGTCATACCATAAATATGCATGCCAGCCAAATCTACAATCATGCCCTTCCAACCCCAACAATCTGTCATTTTCAAGCTTCACCCATTGATCCATCCATGTTAGACAAACCGCTTCATAATATAGTCTAAGATTTGGCATTTGTAGACCTCCTCTTTCTTTGGCATCACAAAGTATTTTCATTTTGATCCTTGGTTTCTTGCCTGCCCAAACAAATTTTGACAACTCTTGTTGCCACTTGGCCAACAAATCCGTTTTATGCAGAATTGGTATTGTTTGGAACAGGAACATCAAACGTGGTAGGACATTCATTTTTATAACTGATATTCTTCCCATCAGTGATAAGTTCATTTTATCCCATTTCTTAAAATCTTGAGTCAGCTTAGTCCATAATTTCTCATAATTATTCTTATATAGGTCTATATTTTTTGCCGTTAATTCAATTCCAAGGTATTTTGTTTTTTTAACTACTTCACATTGTACCAGTTCTTGTAGTTCCACTTGTTTTTGTTTGATCATGTTTTTACATATAAGTTTTGTTTTATTCTTATTTACGTAAAAGCCGGCCAATTCTCCAAACTCCTTTATTTTTTGAAAAAGCAATGTCAATTTTTCTGTTGGGTTTTCCACCATAAACATTACATCGTCTGCAAATGCTCGATATTTGTATTGGTGTCCTTTATGTGTCAAGCCCTTTATTTCTTGATCGTACTGTATTTTTTGTAAAAGTATTTCCAATACCCAGATAAATAATAACGGTGATAACGGACAACCTTGCCTTGTTCCTTTCTGTACTTTGAAGTTATCTGTCAGTTCTTTATTCACATTTATTTTAGCTCTTTGTTCAGAATAGATAGCTTCAATACAATTTCTAAAATGTTGTCCCGCTTCAATCTTTTCCATCATCTGGTGCATAAAATTCCAATTAAGATTGTCAAAAGCTTTTTCTGCATCAACAAACAGAAAAGCTACTTCTTTTTCTGGGTGCTTTTCATAATATTCAATTGCGTCCATTACTATTCTTACATTGTCTCTAATCTGCCTTTTGGGTAAAAAGCCCGCTTGATCTTCAGAAATTACCGTTTGTAAATAGTTTTTCACCCTTTCTGCAATAATTTTTGCAAAGATTTTATAATCGTTGTTCAAAAGAGATATTGGCCTGTAGTTCTTTACATTTGTTGAATCTTGTCCTTCCTTTGGAATCAAAGAAATAATTGCTTCTTTCCATGAGTCCGGCACCTTTTTGTTTTCTCTTATTTCGTTGGTTAAAGCTTCCAGGACCGGGGAAATTTCTTCTTTCATCTTTTTGTAGAATTTCGCTGTAAATCCGTCCGGCCCAGGCGCCTTCCCCAACTTTGTCTCTTCTATTGCCTTCATCACTTCTTCTTTTTGAATTGGACCATTTAATAAATCTTTGTATTCCTTACTTATTTTTGGTAGTGGAATCTCCTTTAAATATGTTTTAATCTTCTCAAGATCAACTCTAGTTGTTTGGAATAGTTTAGCATAATACTTGAAGAAACATCTCTTTATTCCATTAGGATCAACGAACTCTTTTCCATCTTCTATTATTTTGGTTATCATTCTTCTCTCTCTTCTAGCCTTAAGTTGCCAAGCTAAGTATTTTCCCGGTTTGTTCGCCCCTTCAAAAGATTTCTGTTGTAACTTCTTTAAATTCCAATACATTTCCTGATTCCAAGTCTCATTCAGTTGTTCCTTCAGCAACTTTAATTCTTTAATAATTTGCTTTTTTCCAGGCTTCTTTTTTAATTCCTTTTCTTTCTGAGCAATTTTTTCTAACACTTCTGTTTGTTTTTGAAGTTTTTCCTTTTTTTGCTTCACGTTTTGCGAGATGAGAATTCCTCTCATCACCGCTTTATAAGCATCCCATACAATCTGTATCGGTGTTTCTTTATTTAAATTTTGTTGAAAGAATTGTTTCGTTTCTTCCTTTAACATCTCAATTACCGTTTTCTTATCCAACAAGTCTTCATTAATCCTCCACAGAAAGGGTTTTTTCCTTTCTGTGGAACTCCATACCACCGGATTGTGATCTGAATTACATCTTGGCAAAATTTCAGTCTTATGTGTTTTCATTGATAATTCTTCAGACATCCAAATCATATCAATTCTGGAAAAAGAGCAATGTCTATTGGAATAAAAAGTAAAGTCTTTCTGCATCGGGTTCCATTTCCTCCAAACATCTTCTAATTTTTCTTGCTTAACTAATTCAAAAAAATTCTTT